GAAATATTGTAATTAGATAATAGGTAGGTATCATAATAATTTATTCTAGTAAGTAATTATTATAAAATTAACTATATGGATTTATAATAATTACTTAATATTATTAAGTGGCGAAGCTTGCGAAGTCACTTATTGATTTCACGATGTCTGTCCGTCTGTCCGTCTGTCCCACGATTATCTCGAGAACGGTTTCGAATTTTCAAATTCTGTTTTCAGCAATCGATTACTGATTAACCAGTCATCTGAACATTCTATTTTGAAACTGATTGCTCAACGGCAACCGTTAGAAACCGCTACAATTTCAAATTCTCAACAGACTGACACAGGGCATGTAGCATATCAATCGACAGGTCTTTAGAAAGATAAACGATTGTTGAACTTATTAATATTTTTTTTTAATCTATTAATTGCTATTTTAAATAAAAAAAGGGTTTTAGTCGCTTATGGTGTGGATTTATTATGTCCCTGTGGCTTGTAAACACGATAACTTTTGAAAATATCAATTGTTTAACTCAATCTATTTTTTAATCTCTTCATCTATCATGTGGGAAGCCACTGAATGTAAATGGCAGTGTAATTTTGTTTTGTTTAGCTATAATTAATTTTTTTTGGCTCCAAAATGGCAAAATTTTCGTTGATTTGGTAGCCTCGTATATAAATAATTTCTGTAAATGGGGAGCTACAGAACTTTTACACAAACTTCAACCGCAAACAGTCATCCGATCCATTTGTCTCAGTGCGATTACGTAAACTTTAAGTACTTGAAATCTGAAATTTGAAATTTTAAACTTCAGATTTCTTTGAACTTAAAAATAAAAATTCATTTTTTTTAAAAAGTAAAGGTTACGTTCTGACGTCCGTTTCGTATTAGTAAAAATCATTTAGTTAACCCGGTATTCGAAACTGTTAATTCAGTGGAGAATTTCGTTAATTCATCGCGTCGCGTTAATCAAAAAATAGACTCTGGTTTTTAATAATTTAAGTTCCTCTTTGCGTGATAGGCGATTATAGGCCGAATTTCGCTCCACCTAGAGTAGGTTTAGGCCGGCTGCCGTCGAGTCAGGCGACCGTTAAACTAGCCCTTCGGGGCCTCGCGCTTACATTCCTTCACAAGGTCGTGCGCCTTTTAAAGCAGTTTTAATTTCATTTAATTCTTTAAGCGATTTTAAGCGGGAAGTGATTAAAGGTGAAAATAGTCATTTCTACGCGGTTTTCTCGGGTAAGTTTATACACAATCACCTTAGGGAGAATACAAACGGCGAGCACTTAGTAAAACTAAGTGACCACCTAAATTTCGATATAATAGCCCCTCAGGGGAACACTAGCTATTCAACAAACCAATATCGTAGTTTGTCCAAAATCGACTTAGCACTCTTCAGGAACGTAACCTTAACGTTACGCTCCATAGAAGTGGTGCATGAGTTGACATCGGATCACCGCCCGGTCATAATGTCGTTAGGACAGTCCAGCAGCGAGGTTCCTCTAACCAAAACTGTTACGGACTGGCATAGGTTCGAGGCTAACCTCGAAACTATGAACTCAGAATACTTAGACCAAGTGCCAGATGTAATTGACACCAAAGAGGTGGCCTTAGAAGCCATCTCTCACATCGCCTCTCATATGAACGATTTGAAAAATTCAAAAAAATCAAAAACATGCGACTAAGCTGATTGCTTCGCCACTTTGCTATGCTGTTAGCTTGCTAGGTTTATTGTTATTATTATTACCTAAAAGATAAACATGTTCAGTAAGTTCACTGCAAATCTCGACTTTTGCAAGTGTGTGTTTTTAAAACACAAAATGCTCGAATATGTCGTCACACATTTGATAAATATGGTTGACACCATAGCACTTTTAAAACACTTGAAATGTGTAAAAATGGATCTGGATCTTGTCTTCAAGGCTTAGTTATTAAGGAGTTGGAGGGGTACCTAGGTAAACCCAGAGCCGTCATCTCGGAAGATATTTTGGACTGTTGGAGGACGCATGAGACAAAATATCCGATTTTATCAAAGATGGCCCGTGATTTTGTTTTAATACCTGCAACTTCAGTACATGCTGAGAGATTATTTTCTAAAGCATCATTAGTAATTAGAAAACATAGAAATAGATTAAGTGATGAGTCAGCCAGATGGTTACATTGTATTAATGCTTTGTCAAAAGAATAAATATAAAGTAACAGTAATGTCAAAGCTGTTGTGTACATACTGTGAAGTAATTTAATTTGCATCGTATTTTATTTTTTATTTAAATAAATTGTATATTGTATAACTCTTTTATTCTATTTCATATATGTTGAGAGTCCATCAATCTCTTTCTAGAGAGATAATGTTATTTAAAAAACAGTGTAGTTATTGCCATTAATTTGTTTTTATATGTATGTTTGACTCGAACTTTAGGCATTGTCAGTTTGAATAGCCTATCATGTATTGTCATGGGGGTCATGGTTGAATAGGGGCAGACAATTCTCATTATGGGAGTGCAAGGGGGTCAAAATGGACAAAAACCAAAAAATTTAAAATTCTTATTTCGGCTCTAACTCCGCCTCCTTCTCAGGTTCTTACACAGACTTTACTTCCCGCATCTCACTTGTTTAGTATTACATATTCATTGTGTTAGTCACAGTTATTTTGAATAAATTGTAATATAATACACATACATAAACTTAAAACAGTGTGTAAGAGTACCACGTTTGCTGTTTTTCCCGGACATATTAAGGTATTTATTTTTTATTCTTTACACTCATCATACGAAGCGCAGCATAATTAAATTGCTATTTTGCGCTGGTATTCAGTGAGAGCGTGGTCCTTCCCCATTCGTGCTATCACCATGATATAGCTGTAGCGTGGCTCTAAGACTTGTAAAAATATTTTAAATAGGCTCGGCTTGGGCTGTTTGGGAATCGTCTATACACCCCATTTTTATGTTCATCAATATTTTCTCCAAATGTCAACCTCACGCTGCGTTATGGTGTCGGGGAGTATCGTAAAAAGTTCAAGACGTTTGATAATGCGAACGCTGATCTGCCAACCAAAACAGCCTTGCACGGCGCAGAGATGCATGCCGGCATTATTTACGACTGTATTTATTAATTTCTAGGTTAACCGATTTTGATGACTCTTTTTTTATTTGAAAGCTGGTGCTTCTCATGTAGTCCCATATAAATTTGATCAAGATCCGACTAGGAGTTTTTGAGTTATCCTTAATAATACGTATTTAATTGACTTGGACTACATTGATGATGTTCTCATGTTATTTATATTGAAGTCGGTTTGACAAAATTTTTAATATAACTACTTATTTAACGCAATTCGCTCAGGGCTAAGTATTACAAGTTTAATTTTGCAGTTTTCTTAAGAAATTGCGTCGCGTGCAATCGCAGAAAATTGTAACAAATTACAGTTTTAATTTGATTAACCTCATACGTTGTATTTCTGCGATAAAAAAATCGCCGAGATAAATATGTTTATAGGTTTCAAATATAATAATGTTGTTTTCTGCATTCCATCGAGAAAGGTAATATAAGTAGTAATAAAGGTAATAGAATAAATAATGAGAATTAGCGAAACAGAAATTAATTAAAGATAAAGGAGTGACACGCGAGTTGAATTTCACGCTATAGGCGACCAGTTTTATATACCTAATGCAATTCAACGAAATTTCAAGAAAGTCGGTTGCATTTTTATAAGTATAGTGCGGACTGCGCATTATCGATTATAAACAGCGCCACAGAATAAATAAACTGATTTACGCAATAGCACGTTAAATTAATATAAACTGGTTAATTATTTTCAGCCTTTTAGAGGTAAAAATTAATAATAAGACAAAGTAATTCTCAAGTATATTCGTGATTTTCTTGGTCTATTACATTGGTAACGTTTACTTTTTCTACTCTGAGATTATTTTTTATTTTTTTTTATAGAAGAGGGGGCAAACGAGCATGCGCCTCACCTGATGGTAAGTGACTACCGCCACCCATGAACAACCGCAACACCAGAGGAATTGCAGATGCGTTGCCGGCCTTTTAGAAGCCAAGGATTCCGATACTAGCTGAGGCAACAAGGGGATTGCCTTGAAACTGAGGAGATACGACAAAGGGCTTCTTTTTAGCGGTAAACGCGCAAACTTGTGTCTTCTCGAGATTGAACTGAACTAGATTTAGTCGGCCCCAATCCGAGACTTTGTTAAGCAAAGACTCGACTTCAGACACAAGTTTGTCCCGGTATTCTAAACTAATAAGCATATTTTTATCAATATTTCTAGTACCTAACGTCGAACTTCCTTTTTAAAAATAATTGTTACCGTTTTTTTTCTGTTTACACTTTCATATTTTTTTATAGGTTAAACGACTCTGTAGTGCGGTGGCCATATTTGTATGACCTACAAATAATTATTTCAGGTCTGGATGATTTTCTATGTGCTATTAGTCAATTATTGTACGTATGTACGAAATTCGTCCAAGATAAAGGAAAAATCCAAGTATACAAATATTTTTATTATCAAGACAAGTATAAAATTTACTACGTACGGTATATACATACCGTTATCTGGACAGCGATGAAAACGCAAATATATTGTTCCGATATTGTGTTGTTCTTCTATAAAAAATTTCATACTTGTAATAAAAACACTCATTGTGTTTATTGTACTTCTTAGTCACGAAAATCATTATACATGGCTTCATTACACGCTCCACTATTCTCAGAAAATTTTAAACGTATTGCATACAAGTTATAATTCCGACACAAAGTAAATAACACTTTAAAACTCTATATGTAAGTTTCGAAATTATTTAATATGGTGTCCACGAAATTTCGTAGAATTAATTAAACAATGTGATGAATTTTCTTTGTGATGCGTTATGCTTTACGTTACTTGTTCAATAAGATTCAAGGAAAACAAAATTCCTATTCGTCGCAGTATTTACACAGCTTATACCGTTTCAAACGACGACGTTAATATTTTTAATACTTAAACGAGTATTTGTTGCATTAAGTTTCATTGTCGTCTTGAGTTCTGCGGTTATAGCAATAAAATCGAACGATTTCTTCGCAGGCGAGTCGAAATTACAACTGAAAAATGGCGAATTTGTTTCTTTTTATCACCGTTATGGTGATGGTTGGAGCTAAGGGTGAGTTTTTATGCCTTTTTGTTTTAATTATGCATTTAGCGATGAGTATATTAAAAATTAGAATAAAAGAAACTACAAAAAGTAGTTTATTAATGTTTTCTGTATATAGACTTAGACATTATTCCTAATCGATTTGCCTACAGCTTTCTTTAGAATTCGAGAAGGACCGCGGAGTCCTTTTCTCGACATTAGGATAAAAAGAAAATACCTTTACCTCTTATTGCTCTCAAAGAATCGATAACTGATGGTGGAAAAAGGTTCTCGAGTGGCAGTTTCGTAACGGTAAGCGAAGTGTACGTCAGCGTCCATATGACCTTTTCCTTCAAACAACCCTAATTACATCCACAATATTATCATCAACTCGGCCGGGGAAATACTGCGCTCTTACAGACTACGTAAAATAGCAGCTTAATGCTGCTGTGGTGTGCTACGGACGTATGGTGAGTGTAAAGAATCGAAAACTCTTTGTACTGGAACCGAGGCACTATGATCCATAAAATGTACTTACTAGCATGTGGACTGTGTACTCGTTTCTCTATAAAAACATCTATTAATTTATTTATTTCTTACAGTATATCGAAAGATCGCTGCTGAACATAAGCCTCTCTCATAGATTGTCTCATAAGGGGGTTAATTGCCATAGTTGCCATATTTGGCAGGCAGGTTGGCAACCGCAATTTTTTTATTTTTAGTTAATATTAAGAAGATGCTGCTGGCCATTTCCTGTTTCCCCTTGGACACCCACAGGATGATATGGGATAGTGAATTATCTAACATCACCACTACACCAGAAATAATAATATTATAATGTTAGTCAGATATAATTCTTTTGAAACACCTTTCCACTTGCGATGCGTAATTATGAGTTTGCACAGCCGTGTAATGAATTAAATTTAAAGCAAATCGTAATCTAACAAGTTTTCATTTAAAACTTAAATACTTGGAACTAAATATATTTTTATTTTTGAGAAAATAACGAAGACAGTGTAAGGCTGAAAGAAGCTTGAATGTAGGACGGCCCTCTCTGTGGTTCAGAATGGCTTTGAACAGTATTATCCGTTGTCGAATTTGAAAACACTACCATATGGTAGAACACACTTCAGGTATATTATAGTTGTATCAAGAATGGGTTAGCTCAACCGGGGAAGAACCATCCTCACACAGAAAAGCAGTACAAAATAGCAACTTCATGCTGATGTGTTACGTATGGTGAGCGTAGAGAGCCGGAACTCTTTTCGCTAGAAACGAAGCATTCCATGTCAGTTCTTAGGAGTGACAACGCATCTGCATTTTGATAATTTATCGAGAATAGATGTAGATATCTATAGGCCACAGAATCCATTTAGCATCAGGTGGACTATGTGCTCGTTTGTCACCCTTATTATTTAAAAAAGAATGCAAGTTTTCATATTCTCTTTTATGAACATCTAAAGAATTCTTATGATAGGTAATTTTTGTAGTATTTATTTTAATGTTCGCTTATTGTTTAATGACCCCATTTTTTTTTGTAAAAATACGAATGTCAGGTATAAGCAACTGTTTTCTTTGATCTTTATTTAACAGTAACATTAAATTAACTTAATTAACTTAACAAAAAGATAATTAATTAAAAATATTTCTTTTTACAGCTACACTAGCCGATGGAATTAACAACAACAACGATCCGTTCGAGGGGTAAGAAAAGATTTTCTAGTAAATGTGTTTTTTTTATTAGTGAGAGCCTACTTCACTCCAGACATTGCTCTCTATCTATTCGTGAAGTTTCATAGTAATCTGTTCAGCCATTCCAAAGTTTAGCTCGAACAAACAGACAGACAAAAATTCTAAAAATTGTCTCAAAAGTCTCATAAAATCGCCTATCTGCCTCGTAAGTTATTGAAGGTCAAAGGTAAAAAACACTTTCGTGATTATCTTGGTTTCTATTGCTCCAATGATGTTAACATTCATTATAAAAATTGTAGAGCATAAAATTTGCGACAAAATTTAATTGAAAATTTTTTCATGCACTCAACCGTTTATGCGATATAGGGCGGTGAGCACTGCAGCGCTCAACCATACGTACTATAATGCAATGTCACCCGTGAATATCTGTGAATACGACCTTGAATTTCAAATAGTTTGAATTATTTATTTATTTATTTATAAATTTATTGTACTTAATAACATTTTATTTAAATATATTATTTAATAATACTTACTTACTTTGTAATTAAAAACTCATTAAATGTTCAATAAATTATGATATACTTATTGTAAGTATATGATAATTTATTGAAAGTAGATTTTAAGTACTAAAATAATTAAGTATTTTAATTTTTAAGATGTGTAAGCTTTAAATATTAGATAATATATTATACTTATTATATTATTGTACATCTTAATGTTATATTAATTTATTCAAAGTAAATTTTAAGAGAAGTAAAACGAGTTAATATATTTTAAATTTATCTGTATTCAACTTTATTCATTCAGTATTAATTTTCTTCTTCATCCTTGTTTTCCGGACGTTCGGGAGTTTCGTTTCATCGTCATCATTTTTGTTGCCTTGAATTGTTGTCTCCAGACCTTCCCTAGTTTCAGGTTCAAATGCATTCGCTACCTCACAGTCTATTTGCTATTAAAAAGCATTGAGGCAAACTTTCCCATTACTGGCCACAAGCTTAAGTTTCGCATAGTGCAGTACGGCTGTATCTCGCTATCTCTGCAGATCGCTGCGTGCTCACCGCCCTCTATCGCAAAAACGGTTGAGTGAATGAAAAAAAAATTCAAACAAAATTTGTCGCTAATTTCATACTCTACAATTTTTATAATAAATGTTAAATGGTAATTGGAGCAAAAGAAACCGAGATAATCGCGAAAAAATGTTTTTTTAATCTTTGAACTTGAATAACTAATGGGGCAGTTACATGATTTTATGAGACTCTTGGGACAACTTTTAGAACGCTAAAGTCTAGGTATATATAAAAATTCAGCTTATTATCTCTCATTTCGAGGTTGATCGCTATTTTGACTGGACTACAAACAAATAATTCAAACCACCGAAATGTGACAGAATACCTACACAGTATTTTCTGTTTTAGATTTTTTGAATGGAACGTTTAGATACTCGCTGAGCACAGACGAATAGGCACGAGTACGAATATATATGCGACTTTTTCGGGAGTGCTCGCTACTCGGCCCGAGTATTCGCCTGTTCTTCACTCGTTGTCGGTTTTTTAGCACAAAAACACACACAATGTTTGTGTGTATTTTATAATAAATCTAAAAAAGTCGTAATTTTTATTTATTAGTTATCATAAACGTATTTGTAACATTTATGTATATATAACATGGTGTTCAAGAATAAAAATCATCACCGTTACAGCCTATCAAAAGTCCCCTGGACATAGGCCTCTCCCATGGCCTTGTAAGGGGATATTTCCCACAGTTGCAGTTCTTTTTTTATTATTTTGGTTTATTAGCAGGAAGATTGCACATATTATCCTGTTTCATTACCCTCTTTCGCCTCTTACGTTAAACACGGAAGGATATTATGGTAGTGGACATTCAATATATTCTTTAGAAATTTTATTCTATTCTATTCTAGGGGATTCTCAGGCGCCGTTAACACTTTTTTGCGCCTAATGCAAGGCTACCCTCCGGAAGCGGGGGAGGGAGGTGGTGAATGCTCATAGCATACCACGCAGCCGGCTGCGTGGTTATGTGGGACTCACTAAGAAGTGCCTACCCACTAAACACCACCTGTGGGACTGGCTCTGGCCTGTATGGCTCTCCGCCACATCGGAAGCGACCCCCTTTAGGGAAGGGGGGCGCGAGCCGTTAACACACGGCAGGAACATTAATATAGAGTGAAAAATAGCTAACAATTCACCTGATGGTGAGGGGTTGCTTAAGGCCATAGCGTACATCTGCAGCTAAATTTAAACGAAGAGAACTAATGTCACCCTAGAGGTCTAAAATAAAACATCTGTTCTAAAATAAAACATTGTTAATCTGGATTTTTACCGGAATAGAAAGAAAACGAGCCACACTATATAGTGTGGCTCGTCTTGCCTGGCAAATGAAACTTGCTAAGACTCTTTTCTATGGTACTGTTCCGATGATATCAAGGACACCAGTCTAAAAGAGATTTCAAAGACTTTCTAGCAACTTAGAAACGGCAATCTGCCAGTTGGTCTTGCGCATGTGGACTATGAGAAAGTCTTTGATTCCGTCGAAACTGTGCTTTAGTCCCTACAGCGGTCCTACTTGACTGTCGGTATATCGAAGTGTTGAAGTGTTTATACAGTAGGGCTACGATGGCTATCCGAGTACAGAACCAGAGTACGAAAGCTATCTAACTACAGAGAGGTGTAAGAAAGGGTGACCGTTATATCCCCAAAACTTTTCACTATTGCATTGAAAGATATTTTCAAACTACCGAGCTGGAAAGGATACGGTATTATCATCAATGGCGAGTACATCACTCACCTTCGATTTGTAGAGGATATAGTCCTTATGGCTGAATCGCTGGAGGACCTAAGAACTATGATCAATGTCCTCAACAGTGTCTCCCAACGAATATGTCTTAATATGAACATGGACAAAAAAAGATTATGTATAACGTCCATGTCACACCTATGCCGGTAATTGTTGGGAGCACTAAGCTCGAACTAAAGCAACCCGGGTTCGATCCCCGCCGGCACCAACGAAATTGTTAATTGCAATTTTAAGTGCTGATTTACCACGTGCTCGGCGGTGAAGGGAAATCTGCATGTCTGAGAAATAAGAAAAAAATGGTGAGGTGAAAACGCTTGGTGAGTGCAGGTGGCCGGAGGCCCAAATTCCCCCCCCCCCCCCCACCCTTCCATCAACATGGTAGTGGAATTAAATAAAAGACTATCTCAGGAGGGTACGCGAGCGTGGGTGCTCAGGCTGCCCCGCGTATTCTGAGGGGGTGGGGGCAAAATTCCGCTCGCGACTAATGCTGCTCGGGGCAAGCGGAGCAATACAACCAAGGCGACCCCTGTCACGCTATCCGTGAATTTTTGCTACATAAGGGGACTTCAATCCAACCTTAACGCTGTCCATTACCATCTAGAGCCGGCGAAGCCGGCCTTGCTCATTTTATCCGAGACTCAGGTGTCCTCTCCGGCTGATACTTCATATCTCTCCTACCCGGGGTACAAATCTCATCTCTGGGCCGGGGCACCCCAGTGCCAGCTCCTTCCACTTGAATGCATCCAGCGCAGAGCGGTTCGATTCGTCGACGACCGAGCTGTTGATGATCGGCTCGATTCATTGGCACTGCGTAGAGATGTTGCATCTCTTTGCGTATTTTATCGCATCTATATCGGGAGTGCTCTGAGGATTTGTTCGGACTAATTCCAGCAGCTCAATTTCACCACCGCACATCGCGACAAAACTCGCGTTACCATCCAAACCATCTGGATGATTGGCGGTCCACCACTGTGCGATTTAGAAGAAGTTTTCTTCCTCGCACAACTTCCTTGTGGAATCAATTACAACCAGTGAATTTTCCGGACCGATACGACTTAGGAACCTTCAAGACAAGAGCTTACACCTTTCTAAAAGGCCGACAACGCATCTGCAATTCCCCTGGTGTTGCGGTTGTTCATTGGCGGCGGTAGTCACTTACCGTCAGGTGAGCCGCATGCTCGTTTGCCCCCTCTATAATAAAAAAAATGTGGGACGTAAATTTACTAAGCTCAAAGTTGTTGACGAGTATGTGTACCTGGGACAAATAGTCCGACTAGGTAAGTCCAATTTCGACTGAGTAAATCGACGGATTCAACTCGGCTGGATAGTGTTCAGGAAATTACGATTTACGACATGTCATCCCGTTAGGTATACCTCAAAACTTGAAAACAATATTGTACAACCAGTGCGTATTGCTAGAGATAACTTATATATCTGAGACGTGGTCCTTCACTGCTGGCCGTACGAGGAAGCTTAAGGTCGCTCAGTGAGCTATGGAGAGGGCTATGCTCGGGGTTTCTCTGCCTGATAGACTTAAAAATTACGATATCCACAGTAGAACCATAATAACCGACATAGCCTAACGGATTAGTAAACTGAAATAACAATAAAAAAATGGCCGTCTATATAGTTCGAAGAACCGACAACCGATGGGGAAGTAAGGTTCTCTAGTGATAGTCTTGTACCGGTAGGCGAAATGTAGGGCGTCCCCATGGAGTGACGACCTGGTAAGACATGCAGGAAGTCGGTGGATGCAAGTGGCTCAGGACTGTGCTTTGTGGCATTCCTTGGGGGATGCCCATGTTCAGCAGTAGACATGTAAAGGACTATAATGAAGACATTTTTCACGACTGTAATAAACTGTAAATACTGTGTTTATTAAAACTACAGTTAACAATTTAATTTTAATTTATGTGGTAGTAGTGGTTATATTGTGGTCGCAGCACAAATGGGTCGGCTCGTCCGAATAGAACCGCCCTCTCACAGAATACCAGCGTGAAATAGCTGCTTAATGCTGCTGTGTTTCGTATGATGAGGGTAGAGAACCGGAGATCCTTTTTACTGGAAACGAGGCATACCATCTCAGTCCTCTGGGGTGACAACGAATCTGCTTTTGATTCTTAATTGAAGATAGATATAGATGTCTATTGGCCACAGCATCCACTTACCATCAGGTGGACTGTGTGCTTGCTTGTCACCTTTATTTTATAAAAAAAAATTACAGAACATTTAAGTATGTAAATTTTATAAGGATTTTAGATTGACACGTTTAACAACATTCTTTATGAAAAGTTCACAATACTTTTAGCTTCAGTTTAATGATTACTGTTCTTTATTTTATTTACAGCCTAAGACGATATAGGTATGTGTTGGCGTTGTAACAGAAATCCCAGTTTATTCCTAGAGTGTCCTAAGGGACTACTGGTATCCATATGCTAAGGGAAAATCTTTTTTATAATGGAAAAGGCCCATGATTTGCAGTGAATTTTACTAGCTGCAAAAAAGTCTATGTATATCTTTGGATCGTGCTTTGTTTTAGAAGAAGTGTTACAGGCTGTAAAATTGATGATTTTTTATAATGTTTCTTAAAACATCCACACTATACATAGTAATATTTATGTACTCAATACAACGTTGGTCATTCCCAAACGTTAAGGTTATATAAATGGGAATCTAGTTGACATTGTTTACAATATCCACATTAAAGAAAATAAAAGTCCTGTGATTATTTAGTTGCATCATATTATTAAAGAATAGAAACATAAATTACGAAACCTTGATTTTTTTATAGGATAAGGGTGACAAGCGAGCACACAGTCCACCTGATGTAAAGTGGTTGCTGTGGTCCATAGACATCTACATACATCAATCCTCGTTTGCGAATCAAAATGCAGATACGTTGTCAGCCGTGAGGACTAAGATAGAATGCCTTCCTTCAGGTTAAAAGGGTCTCCGGTTCTCTACATTCACCATACATAGAAATAGAAATAGAATGTTTTTTATTCAATATTGATTATTACATAATACTTATTGCGTCATTTTTTATTTACCACTGGTTCGGAAAATACCTCTGTCCTGGAAAGAACCAGCAAGAAACTCAGAGGGACTTTTTTAAACATATTTCACTTATCAATAAATTTGTTTATACAATTTTTAAATGAATTTTCATAGAACCAGCATGGTGGCGATCACCTCATTCCCAGGGGTTATTAGAGGGTTATTCCTTGATACGAGTATTATGATAACCCTTTTTGTACAGTTTTTCTTTAATAAAACTTTTAAACTTGTTTATTGACAAACTTTGAACATGTTCGGGGATTTTGTTGTAAAAGCGTATACATTGCCCCATAAATGAATTACTGATTCTGTGGAGTCTAGCAACTGGCATTACAAGCTTATGTTTGTTCCTAGTGTTTAAGGTATGAACATCCTTATTCTTATTAAAGCTATTTATGTTTTTATGTACATACATTACAATTTCATAAATATATTGCGATGCCAAAGTTTTACTCTTTACAATTTAGGTTATAAATCGCCCGTACGGCTCTCTTTTGCAAAACAAATATAGCTTCAATATCAGTCGCATTACCCTATAACAAAATTTTATAAGACATTACGCTATGAAAGTAACGAAAATACACTAATCTAGCTGTCTCAACATCTGTGAGACTTCTAATCTTTCTTACAGCATTTGCTGCAAAACTAAGTCTGCTTGCTAATTAAGATATATGGGGGCCCCATTAAATTTTCGCGTCAATAGTAATACCAAGAAAAACAGTGGTATCCACAAGACTCAACTCCTCCCCATTTAAGAGCACATTGGTATTCGAATGTTTTACATTAGGTATTGTAAATTTAATACATATTGTCTTATTGCCGTTTAAGAGCAAATTGTTGGCGTTAAACCAATGTACTAATTTCGATAGGGCATTATTTACATCGTCATAATTAATTGACAGCCGTTTGAGTTTGAAAATTAAAGAGGTATCGTCAGCAAATAATACTATATCTTGATTGTCCCTTACAAGATAAGGTAAGTCAGTAATATAGATTAAGAACAGGAATGGGCCAAGGATCGAGGCCTGAGGAACGCCCATTGATACTACCGATACACAGCAGCATTTAGCTGCTATTTTACTTTGATATTCTGTGAGTGTGTTCGTTACCCGGTCGAGCCGACCCATTCGTGCTACTACTATACAATTAATATATCTGCAGCATGGCTCTACCTCGATAACATTGGATATTAACAAAAATATTTATTGAAAAATATTTATAAAATATTTATATTTGGATGCAATACACTAATATGGTGTATTTGTATGGCGGTATGTTAAGAGAATCCATAGGTTTCTCTCGATCTTCGTCCATTAATGAGGGCATCCACGACTTTATCTGCCACCAGGGCGGCGCCACTTGAAAATGAGGTTTACTATTTGACAGATTTCATAGTGGGGAAGTTAATTTGTTTGGAAAATGCAAGGGTTACTATTTCTTTCTGTATTATTAATTATTTTTTATATTAATTAGATTAAAAATAAATAAACCAAACCACCAATAATACACCATATTACTGTATCAACGAAAATTAGATGTGTAATCTAGAACTACGAGGAGTTGAACAAATCAATTGTTTACAATAACCAGTGATAGATTCAGAATACTCATCTCACCACGTACGATTTACGACATTGAAAACCATACTTTCCACTAAAGTTGTGTGACAGAGGAGGAGGGGAGAGGATTTATTTTTACTTTTATATATAGAGGTGTTGCAAATAATAGAAGCAAGAATAAGGTCTGAGAAGTAGTATGGCTTCGCTAGAGTACAGTACCCCAATACTGAGCTTTCTCTATAGCTCTGGTGGAAAGTTACTCCTTTCCGTTATGTAAGTGTTATCCAATGGAATACGTTAAGAATTACTTCACGATGGGTGCTGTAAGCATTCGAAATGGCAGGAGTATTAAATAAGACAATTAAACGCGACATAAAATTTTATAATTTTATTTTTTTTATTTACTAACTAAAATTTACTAAATAATAAATAAACTAAATAATTAATAATTATTTTTCTATTTCAGGTTTCCTTTCGGCTCACAGGTAACAAAATAAACATATTATTATAATTAGCTGTTGCTTAAATACATTTAAATTAAATCTAAAAAAAAATATATTTAGACAGCATAGAAAATATTAAATTAATTTAGTTTTAATTTTAATCAAAAGCTCGTCAGACATCATGATCACGGACCTCCCCGCGTTTGAAAGGGTTTTAGGGCAAGAAAATGTACACCGCGCTACATCAATTCGTGTTGGTGGGCTTTATAAATCCTTGTAAATCATACAAATTACCATGAACTAGACTAGACTAGACCTAATAATAACATTCTAACTTATTTAAACTCAATCAATTGTTGAATATATTTCTTTCACACTTTTGTTTTAAACGTTACCTCCACACTAGGATTTTCTCCTATATCGTGGGGGCTGTAAGTTTATATACATAAATTTTACAAGGACAAACATCCAGACCCGGTACAATTATTTGTAGGCCACACAAATACTTGTTCCGTGCGGTATTTGAACCCGCGACCATTAGCGCAGTAACTCATTGCTGTTAAGTCTGTTGCTGAACATAGACTGTATCGGTTGTATTTTGCCATATTTGCCACGCTTGGCAGGCGGGTTGGCAACTGTAGATTTTTATTATTTTCAATTGTTATCATGAAGATGCTGCTTTCCATCTCCTGTTTTAGTGTTCCCCTGTCGCGTCTTATGACACCCATGCAATGATAAGGGATAGTGAATATTTCTTATGCCGCCACTATACAGAACTGAAATAAAATAGTTGAACTCAGACTACCTAAATAATGTTGAAAAGTAGCTTAGGTTTATCTGGGTCAATTTAGAATTACTCATGGTTTTTGGTTAATAAATAATTTATATATTATAGAAACAGCCGCAGCTTTACAATTTGTTAATAATACCCCAAAAAATAAATACAATAAATATTCATTTTATAATTTGATTAAGTCATGTAATACAAGATCATCTATTTTGTCCCGGCAGTTAAATATCTAGGGATAAGAAATTTCAGTAGTTTAAATAATTAAAAATTAAAAATTTTGTACAGCCGATCTCAATATGAGTTATTAAGAATAACTCAAAAACGATTGGTCTGACCTTGATGAAATTCATATGGGACCACACGAGCGGTACCAGCTTTCAAATAAAAAAAGAACCATTCAAATCGGTTCACCCAGTAAAAAGTTATGAGGTAACACATTAAAAAAAAACATACAGTCGACTTGAGTACCGTCTCCTTTTTGGAAGTCGGCAGAATATTTAAGGAACTTGAACTAGTGGAAACTTGGCTAATATTTACATATTTTTATTTTTTATCCATAGAAAGCGGTGGATAATAAACTTTATAATTTTGAAATCGTATTATGTTTCTAATTCGTTGTTTTTACCCGTTTGCAGTTCCCATTTCCTAAAATGAAATTTCCAAAAATCCAGATTCCAACATTCAAACCACTTGCCCCGTTTCCTAAATTTAAACCCTTTCCTAAAATCAAGATACCTACTGCCGATGAAATTATTAATAGAAAACCAAGACCTGGAGAAACGATCAATAGCGTAGTTGTAAAATCTGCTACTGGGTATACCATGGACGAAACTGGCAAAACTAAACAAACTGGTGGCACCTATATATATACAAACAACAACGGTGATATCAAGGAGTTTAAAGGTTAGTTGTATTAGAAATTTTAAATTTTCGTTTTATTAATGACTGATGATGACTTTTATGGCTGGACTTAGGCTTGTTTACGCACTCAGGCATCCGAATTGTTTGTGTTCCGGTTTAAAGGCTCAAACTTGGCTCTTTTAACTGGTTCACCCATTTACATGTTCCTGACGCCAAGCAAAGTTTTAAACCTAATCCTGTGAAATGTTAAAACTTCGTGAGTTGCTTTCTATTAAATTAGTTTTTGAGCAGTATTTGCAGGATGAACAGTATTCCCATATATACCATTCAGGCTACACTACTATGGAACGCCCTTCCCAAAGGTAATAAAAATGCTCCGAGTAAACAATGTTATAAAACACTGCTTCGACACGATCATCTGCAGGCAAACACAAAATAATATTCACATTTCATTTTAATTACAATATATATGTATATTTATTTATTTGTGTGAATATGTATGTATATATCTTATGGACCAAGTGATTAATTGGACATAGTCATAATGCTCAATATGAGTTTGCTCCGTGAGGCAATGTGATAAAAACTATTGAATTAATATAATTGACCAGGCTTTACGAATAAAGCCCGTTACCAATTGGACAGAGTAATAGTAAAGTAAAGTAAAAAGTAAAAGCGGGAAGTGTCTGTTCATTTAAATATAACTAATTTTACGGATTTTATCGCGTATATTAACTTATTTTATATTCCCGACGTTTCGAGCACTTTACAGCACTATTTAAATGTGTAGTGTTCGCGTAAATATAAGAATTCATTAAGTGTCTCTTCAACGATAATCGAACGATTTTTTCATTTATACGATTATTGTATGATTAATTTATTTTTATTCGTCCGATATATATATAATCATAGAGTAAGTAATAGCTAATCATAGAGTAAGTATTAGTATATATATATATATACTAATACTTACTCTATGATTAGCTTCTAATAAAACATTACACCAATCTTGCAATATCAGTAACAGTAGGTTGAGGTGCGGCTGGGTAGCCCTTGGGCCAGCTCATAGCCGCGTACATTACATTATTTTGATATAATTGTTAACCATAAATCAAACATAATATTGAAAGTATTAAACTTTTTAATTTTAAAAATTATCTGGAGAATCATACGATTAACGTATAATTCACAAATTAATTTTTTAACAACTTTAATACTATTAGATAACTCTTATTGCTTTAAGTGATTCTCATAGTTAGGTTTGGTTAGGTTAGGTTATATCAAATTGCCCATAATTCCATTAAATATACAGGTTGCAAAATTGCAAAAATTTCGTTTTCTTTTTAAAAAAGAATTAAAAATTTCTATGACACTACTATACCTGTTAATTTTTGTTACGTTTACAAATATAAATTTTTATTCTCTATATTGAAGATAAAAATCTAAAATATAATCTTAACCAATATACAGTAGTTCTATTAAATAAACAAGTTCAATATCGAGAAATTGTAAAAATGTTATCCTTGTTTTTAAAAAAAAGAATTATAATAAATGTCTAACACTTCATCTGTTAAAATTAATATTTGTCAATAAAATTCAAAAGCTAAGTTTTAAAAAAAGAAAATTACATTTGTTTTTTTTATAATTATAATTATTTCCTTATAGTAGAATTAATTACTATGTTCAGTAGAATTGTTTTATTCTTTTTAGTTCTTTCATTCGGCTCTTACTTTTATCAAAAGGTTAATCTTTTGACTCTTTTGAGTGGCCTAATAAATATCAAAGTCCTCTAAACAGTTAAAATCAAAAACTACATCCCCTAGCTTAGAATTGGAATCTTTACTCCAATTTTTTATGGAACCACTACTGAAGTATAATCTATTTAATGAAAAAATAATTTCAAAATAAGTTTACAATTGCCTAAAATATCGGGTAACATACATCCAAAAAATAACACTGTCGAATGGAGGACCTCCTCCCTTTTTTGAAGTCGCCTAAATATAGGTATATCTCACCTAGGTGTGAGTCCGTCTATTTTTATTGCCGCCTCGACATGCTTGGTGTTTGCCACAAAGTACGTGGAGCCATGCTGCAGCTATATTAATTGTATAGTTGTAGCACGAATGGGTCGACTCGACCGGGGAAGAATACCAGCGTAAAATAGCGGCTTAATGCTGCTGTGTTTAGTTCACATACCTCCCTTAGAACAAAAGCATTTATTGAGGAATCTGGTGTTGAAACTCTAAGTCACCCACCCTACAGCCCTGACTTAGCTTAGCTCCTTGTGATTTTTTTTTGTTCCCAAGAGTCAAAGAAAAAATAAAAGGCAGGTTTTTTCAAGCGCCGAAGAAGCCGTGGCTGCCTACGAAGAAGCGATTTCCAATCTGTCAGATCAAGACTGGCAAAAGTATTTTCAGAGTTGGTTTAGGCGAATGGAACTTTTTATAGAGCATGATGGAGAATATTTTGAAAAGATGTAAAAGATGTTGCTTTATGCTCTGACCAATGAGAATAAATTAATCACTACGTTTAAGAGGGACTCAAACTACTTTTAATATCGAAAAATAAAAATAAATTGCTATCAAGGTTATTGTATTGAAGATTTTACATACCATAGAATCTCAAATGAATTCTCAATTATCACTACTATATACTGTCTTCAGGTTCAAATAAGTTTATTTATACGAATAAAGGTATTGAATATTTATAATTAAGAACTGGCCACGTGCGTGTCGGGCCACGCACAATGTAGAGGTAGAGTTCCGTAGTTGTTCGCCACAATACATGGACTTTCTAGATAATTAGCATAATGAGTTCATGGTTTGACCCCTATAACGACTAAAAATAGGCCCGTAGAAGATCGTAACTGAAGGATTTATTTTCAAATCAGCCTTATAGAGAGTGGTATTCAAAAAGATTAATAAAACATACCCTATCTACCCCGCAAATGAAAAATAAAGCTAATAGTAGTAATGCATATAAGTCGTTTTCTTCATAAAATGTTTATTTTTGACAGCTTATTGGCTTACAATACTGTTACGAGCTTGGGGTTCGAGACAATTAAAAACTGCCGATTGAATTACCAAAATTGACACTTTAATTACAGAACACTAATTACAACTTAAAACCACGCTAATAATAAAACACAACTGTACTACTGATCACTTTAGTTCGCAGTTGTATCGCTTCGAAGTATTCGCTTGTATCGCCAATTCAATACTGTCTCGGTCGCGGTCTATACCGGCCTTATATAGGGCCTCAGATAGTTTCCAGAACAGTCTACTGTAGAAACATCTAGAATGTTCAAGTACATATCGGTCCCGATTGGCTATGTGTCGATAGTTCCAGAAAGTTCTTCCATGGAAATTTCTAGAACGTTCTTGACTCTCCTAGTTCTACTACTCGCTAGTGGTATCAATTGTGGCGCGCAACAATACCATTTCAAAGTTATGATAAACTTAAACGATTAATAACATTACAAAGTTATGATAACTTAAAACGAGCTGCATTAATAATTAATGCAGCTCGGTTTAGGTCATTTTCTATGAAGTTATAGCGAAATTTTTGCTAATCCAAGTGTATTTTATAAGTTGGTCAACTATTACACGTTAACTTCTTATTTCTGCTTAGCTGTGATAGTTTTCCTTTTAACTTCATTATATTATAAATATACTACTATTGTGTATACTTTTCACATTTCCATAAACAGTAGTTTAGTTGGTAGGGGTGGGGGGGGGGGATACATGACTCTAATGAAAAATACCACTTTAAAGCAAAATATTTCGCAAACGGACCCCTGAATCGATATCGAAGATGTTGTTCAACACCCCTAATATTTTTGAAAGACCTATCCAACGATACCCTACATGACGGAATAGATAGGGAAAAATAATCATCCTCAATTTACTTGTATGGGAAGTACCCAAAATAAAAATGTTTTTAAGATTTTATTTCCTAGTTTTCTAGGCGTGATTAATATATATAATTCTATGCTAAATTACAGATTTGTAGCACCTAGGGTCTCTGAGCAAAACCGTGGACAGACGGAAGCTCGGACATGGCGAAACTGGGGTTCCTTGTTGTGTAACTACGGAACCCTAAAAACTATTAAATCAAGATACTAAACTTATCGTGATTCGTTTTTCAATTTTAAATATTTTTCAGATTTTATTTTGGGAATTGATGATCAATGATTCTGCTTTCACATGGGGTTCCTTATAAAGAGATGTGAAATATTAGTTACCTAATAGAAACATTAATTAAGAGTATTTGAGTATTATTATTGGGAGGTCTCTAGAAAACTTATAAAAATGTAGGTGGTAGATCTACTAACTTTTCAAAGTAGAATTGGTAGGAAACTATCTATAAAACTATTGGGACAAACTTCGGGTTGGTAACACTGGCGTAGAGTATAATAATGATAGCCACTAATAACTCCTTCCGCAGCCCGCAAGCTCACGCGTACTACTGACTGATTACCATTGCCAAGCGTTTGGGTACATCGCAAACACGTTTGTCGAACACCCTTTGATTGGTGCACAAAAACCGACACCGACGCCGATCACTGGCAATCACAAACAAAAACAGGCAAACAACCATCCACACGCTCGTGTTTGTTCTTTGGTGTTCGCTGTACACTAACACGCTAAAAATAGTCGGAGATACTTTGAAGGTTTTATTTTCCACGTTAGCTAAAAAAATCTTCATTTGATTGTCACATAACACATAAAATACATATTAACTGAACATACAAGCTGAACATAAAAACAACCTAGAGGCACGATCGTCGGCGCGTCAGTCAACTTAAAAAACAAGCAAAAGTGTTTAACTAAGAACATTCCATATGTATGTGTTTTATCGTGTTGTAGGTGATAATTAAATTTTAACTTATTGTGTTTCAGTTGGTGATATACCGCCACTTAAAGAAGGCAACGTGTAAGTGCAAATGTTTAGAGTAAATTAATTTAAAAAATGCACGAGTTAATATTTTTTTCTTTTTGTTTCAGAATTATTTCGGTAAGAAATGTATAAAGAATAAATATGGTCATATTTTAATAGTATATAGTTTTAACATAATAGTTATTAAGAATATAAAACTAAAAAAAAAATAACTAAAATAAATAATAAAGGACTGCTCTGTAAATAAAACCAGGTGGGTATGTAGCTATGTAGTATTATGTATTTTAGTTGACATTGTTAAGAACTGCAAAGTTAAACTATAAATAGATCAAAAAATAAAATAACTATTCATTATTTCAGTTTTAGAACCCCAAGGTATAGTAAATTTGCACTTCACACTATTTAACCGTGTAATTCTAAACTATACTCAATATGTATTAAATATGCGATAATATGTTATAACTATATTTTGTTGTTTTAATTTCCTACAGATTACAAAAGAGAAGAGGTAACGTAGCATAATGTATTGAGTTTATTTTAATTCTTATTAATTATGAGTACAGTTTTTTTTTAACATTTAGAAACAAGTTTAGGAAAGATAGAAATGGATTTTTATATTATGTTTGTACTGAAAAAAAAAGTTATATTCCATTCTCTAAATAGTAAATACATAGATTAAAGAGCAAGACAAGAAAACAATATTTTATTTATTACTAGCTCTTTACCCGCGGTTTCACTCTCTTGGACTTCAATTTAGGAACATCATTATTATTGATCCGTGCCAAGATTAACAAAATTGGTTCATTCGTAGTCTCTTTGTCTGTTTGTCACAGTTTTGTTTTTGTATTCTCAGAGACTATTGGACGTAGATTATTGGGCATAGTTATAATATGTTTTATGAACACAATAGTTTTTCAAAATTGCATTAATATTATATGTCTAGCAACACCTAACAATTTTTTATATCGGGCACGTCCTCTAGGGTATACCTATGAAGGGTAAATTGTCTTGAAATCAAAATTGCGTCATATACTTTATACTTATTTATTTATAATTAAGTTAAATTAAGTTTTGACAAAATAATTATATATTTATTGATCTTCTATTAATTTACGGCATATTTTTTTTCGATGTTTTATTTATGTCATTGGCCACATTGAATATTGATTAGCACCATAAAATAGATGCTGACATTATTATCTGTTTGAGTAGATTTTTAAATTTAATAAATGTAGTTCTGTTCATGATGAAATGTATGGTATTATAATCGCTCGTCCGCCTACCAGTCTTGGTGATTACAATAAATTTCTGCTACGGGAGTGTCCCGCTTGCAGCAATTAACTAGTCGGGGGTAGTTGATAATGACTGAATAAGGACTAAGTGCAAATGCAGTTAATTCTATTTTAGTGAATTTTCGCAAACCTTACCATATTTCATTTTTATTTATTTTCACTAACAAATAGAAAATTAACAAGCGTATCTTTTTTGTTTCCAGAAACAAGAGCATATCGAGCCAGGAGCAAGTGCTACGTCAGTTAGCGCCTCTGCATCAAGCGTCAGCGAGGTGACTGTATGACGTTTTAAAACCATTCCCAAACAATCAAATCTCAAATTCTCAATGTCATAGATTTAAAACAGCTTGAAATCCTTACATTTTATTTTACTACCTATAATATTAAGATCATTACGTTGAGTTTTAACATTTATAATTAATTGTATTGGGTGTATTTGAAAATTAATTAAACATTTTTATATGTGTGCATTTTTATTTTTTATATCAATAGAATCAATTTTAGATATTGTAATGTCTTTTTAGGTAGAATCATTTTTATTCAATACAGATTCCAAGAATACTTATTTTAAAAGTTATTTAAGTTTTACCTACCACTACCACCAGTTGGGTTGTTGTGTAGCGGCTGTATAAGAATAATCACTATCCCATATCATACTGTTACGGGCTTGGGGTTCGAGACAATTAAAAAATTGCCGATTGAATCACCCAAATTGACACTTTAATTACAGAACACTAATAACAATCTAAAACCACACTAATAATAAAACACAATTGTACTACTGATCACTTTAGTTCGCAGTTATTTCGCTTCGAAGTATTCTCTTGTATCGCCAATTCAATACTCCCTCGGTCGTGGTCTATACCGGCTTTATATAGTTTCCAGAACCTTCTACTGTAGAAACATCTAGTATGGTCGAGTACATATCGGTCCCGAAATTACTAGAAGGATCTTGACTCTCCTAGTTCTGCTACTCGACCCTAGAGGGCGCTAGTGGTAACTAGTGTTGCCATGTACAACACATTAATAGTGGCACGCAACAATATCATAGATACCGTAAGAGGCGTTAGAAAAAAACACTGCACTTGTCAACCCGCCTGCCCTATGAGACTATCTATGGGGAGACCTAAGTACAGCAGTGGACTGAATAGGCTATAAACGTAAAGGGAACGGAAAAAACCTAGCTTTGTTTAAACATTAATTTTCAATATTATATCGAAATGCTGAAGTTTTTGTATACTACGAAGGCTATCCGAGTAGGTACAGAACCAGAGTACTAAACTCAGCCAACTGCAGAGAGGTGTAAGACGGGGTAACGTTATATCCCCGAAACTCTTCACCGCTGGATTGGAAAAAGTTTTCAAATTACTGGACTGGACAGGATACGGTATTAACATCAATGGAGGGTACATCACTCACCTACGATTTGGCGACGATATAGTTCTGACGGCAGTATCATTGGAAGACCTAAGCACTATGCTCAATGTCGTCAATAGTGTATTCCAACGGATATGTCTTAATATGAAAATGGACAAAACAAAGGTTATATGTAACATCCATGCCACACCTATGCCAGTAGTTATTGGAAGCACTACGCTCGAAGTTGTTGACGAGTATGTTTACCTTTTTTTATACGTGAGGAAATCCTTATGGATACCGGCCTGTCGCGAAGGTGACAGACAGGTTATGCCGAACTCCTACCGGCTAATATCTCACGGTAGTCATCTCTTCGCCCTTGGTCGGGGATACGGGAACGCTTTCGCACAATACCGCAGCCCCGACGGCGATAGCTTATACAGGGTCCGTCTCGATGACGGAGTAGAGCTGGAGTTCTCCAGTCCTTCTTCATTTAGGGGCGCATCGACGGATTCAACTCGGCTGGGCAGCGTTCGGAAGCTTACGTCACATCTTCTCGTCGGGTATACCTGCCTCAAAACTTGAAAACGAAATTATACCACCAGTACGTGTTGCCAGTGATGACTTTTGGATCAGAGACGTAGTCCTTCACTGCTGGCCATATAATGAAGCTCAAGGTCGCTCAGCGAGCTATGGCGAGCTCGGGGTTTCTCTGCGTGATAAACTTAGATATGAGGATATCCGCAGTAGAACCAGAGTTACCGGCATAGCCCAACGGATAAGTAAGCTGAAGTAGCAATCGGCCTGCTATATAGCTCGAAGAACCGACAACCGACGGGGAAGAAAGGTCTCGTACCGTTAGGCGAATTGTGGGGCAGCCCCCCACTAGATGGACTGACGAACTGGGAAGACATGCAGTAAATCAATCAAGGAATGTAATTTAGCCACCTTGACGATAGATGGCAGCCTGTTCACAAAATGATTATTAAAACTATAAAAATAAGATTTTGGCTATTGAAAATTCTTTACGACTGAATGCAAAACAAATTTCAACACCCTTCGTATGGTTATTTTACCAATACTGAGGTTCTACGTACCTTTATATTTTTAGTTCCCATGACACAAAGTGTCGCCATCTAGTGTCGAATATATTTAATTACATTTGAAAGCCGACGTAGATTTTTCTAGAACCTTTTTAATAAATTATATATATAGTGATGTTATCCATAGCATCAGAGCGTCTGAGTAGTTTTTACACGATGAAACACAACACTTCATCCTTTTCTTCTTAGTACTACGAAAATACACCGATTTGCGATTTTCGGCACATAAGCGCACAGGACGAACGCTGACAGTATACTAAGTAAAACCACGCCCACTCTGATGACGTCAGGACCTATTTAGAATCACAGTGCACAGTTGCTTATGCCATCTCTTTGTATTCGCTTCGTGCTCAGGACCTAGCCTTGTGGAATTCCTTGGGGGAGGCCTATGTTCAGCGGTGGACTAATGAAAGGCTTTATTGATGACGATTATTATTATTATATTTTATACAATTAAGTATGAAAACATTTAGAAACAGCATGATAGAGATCACCTCATCAGATCATCCTCAGGGGTTATTGTCTATCATGTACTATTTAGTAGTGTACCCTTATTAAACAATTTATGCTTGATAATTTTTTATAGCCTTTTGATATGGTTTGCATATTTTCTGGGATTTTGTTGTAAAAGCGTATACATTGCCCCGTAAAGCAATTCTGACTGTTTAGAGTCGAGTACCTTCTATAACTAGTTTGGTCTTGTTTCTAGTATTTACAGAATGTGCATTACTATTATTTTTGTGTACATACATACATTAACTTTTTATAAATTTACTGAGAGGCCAAAGTTAATATACTTATTTATTTATTTCAATTTTTGTCTGAGGGATACCTTCGGACCTAGGTTATTAATTGCCCTTATATTTCTTTTCTGCAAAACAAAGATAGTGTCCATATCAATCGTTAGTATGTAATGGAAATAACTAAAATAAACTAAATTCAGTTAAAGTTACGGGCTGTATACGTCCCACTGATGGGCACAGGCCTTCCCTCATTTCTGGGAGGGTTTTAGGGTAAGAAAATGTCCGCCACGCTGTCCTAATGCGTGTTGGCGAACTTCACATGTCTTCGATTTTTTTTAAATAAACTCAGTAATCTAGCTACTTCAACACATGTAAGGCCTCTATTTAGTTTTATTACCGTTTAATAGCAAATTGTGGACGTTGTAATGTCTACTGTTTCTATAGCATTATTCACTTCGTCATATTTTAATAATTGCTGTTTAAGTCGGATAGTTAACAAAGTATAAGCAGCTGATAAAATTAAATCACGGTTATTTCCAAAAAAGTAAGGTAAGTTATTTATATAAACTAAGAACAGGAAACGGTTGAGGAACATCCATAGGTTTTTTGTATAGGATAGGGTGGCAAACGAGCATACAGTCCACCTAATGGTAAATGGTCGCTGTGACCCTCAACAAAGAATCAAAATGCAGATGTCACCCGTGAGGACTAAGATGGAATGCCTCTTTTCCAGTAAAAAAGGCCTCCGGTTCTCTACACTTACCATACGAAACACAGCAGTGTTAAGCTGCTATTTTACGCTGGTATTCTGTGAGAGCGTGGTCCTGCCCCGGTCGTACCGACCCATTCGTGCTACAGCTATACTAGTAATACAGCTGCAGTATGGCTCTACCACATCACAAAAGATACTACCGATCCGAAAGAACTACTCCCATTAATATCAATTATCAACTGTTTGCGTTCCATTATTTAAATATGATGTAATAAGTTTAGGCGTTATGCTTTTTACACCCTAATCTTCCTGATTAATGTCTCACGGTGAATTAACAAAAACAAAAAATAAAATAGTAAAATATTATCAAACTTAAAAATTAAACTAACGTTTAATTTGATAACATTTTATTTAAATAAAAATGATTGTTACAGAATAGTTAAGCCCGCACATTCTAAATACATAATACATAATTATAAAATATTACCAGATGATAAATTATTGTCACAGTTGATATTTGACATTATGTTATAAACACTCAAACCTAACTAGCTTGCTACATATTTATTTATCTATGAACGTAACTCACTATTTATTGATGATATACAAATCAAAAACACAACTATTTTCGAATCTTAAATTAAACGTAACGAAATAATTAAATCATAGAAAGCGGAAAATTAAAAGGTTTTTATAATTTAGTTATAAATCCTATCAAATGTGGTCTGTTGCCATAAATAGAATTATTATTTCATATATGTATGGAAAAGATGTCATGAAGTGTGCCTTTTTTTCGTATGAAAAATACCACTATATGTCGTAAAAGAAACATGATAAGACCCTTTTTACTGGAAAATAGGCATTCTATTTTAGTCCTCATGGTTGATAACGCATCTGCATTTTAATTCGCAAACGAAGATAGATGTAGATATCTATGGGCCACAGCAACCACTTACCATCAGATGGACTGTGTGCTCGTTTGCCACCCTTATTCTATAAAAAAATGATGTCTAAATTCTAAAAAAACCCATGTTTAAGAAATTAAAAAATATTTCCAAAGTACTGCAAACATTCTCAGAAATAGGAAGAGATCTGTCCCAATCCCAAGAAGGTAGTGGGACGTATATAGATTTATCTAAGTAGCTAACTATCGATAGTTTAATCCCCTTTTGTATATGGGTATTTGCTTATAGTCATAACTAGACTCTAGTTATGACAGAAGCAGGTCATATGCTACTTGTGCCTCCACCAGTGATTTATATAGCTCTATAAGAAATTTTCACGGAATTTTACATTTAATTATGAAAAATTTTGCAAGCATACCACTAAGTTTATCACAAACCTGCTCAATACGTTCTTTACAATTTAGGCGACTATCTATCACGAGTCCTAAGTAGGCCTGTGATCTATCTACTAGGTCTATGGCTTCGCAGTTACATGTCATTTGGACCTGTCCTCTGTGAAGGCATTGGTGGTCATGCGCAATGAGCCTAGGTATAACCTTACTCCTATTTTGACCAGAGCTAATGTACATTAACTTGGTCTTAGCAGCATTGAAGACTAATTCTTTATCTTGTGACCACTTAATAAGAATATTAAAATAGTCTTGTAGGAGGTTGAGAGTGTCGTTGATATTGATCCCAGCCGCGACCAA